ATGTCAGGAGCCTCTTACTATCCTCTGCCTTGCAGAGCGCATACCTTAAATTGCTGTTGCAAAATTCCAGCAAAACGGGTACCTTCCTTCCATGGTTATAACCTTTCCAGATGCGTTGTTGCCAAGAATCTCCGGGTTGCACCAGGGTAGAAACGTGGGCAATCAAATCTGATGGACCGCCCCCCCTTCACCCCACTCCTTGGCCTCGCAAGCAGCGATTCATGCACCGAGACCCCCAGCCTGACGCCGAACGCACGGATCCGGCTGTCGGTTTGCGACGAAGCGTCCATCGTTGCAGACGAGTTTCAACGCTTGGCGCACTTTATGGCAATTGTGAGTCTCTTTGAACATTGGAAGGGGTGCAGAAGGTTTGGGGGGGGTAGGGGTTCCCAACCTCTGAAATGGCCCACTTAGGAACAGTTCATTTGCAGAACCGGTGCGGTTGTGCGACCGGAGCCCGCACTGCTCTCCCGACAGGACCAACAACTCCCGGGGCCAAAGATAGAAACATGGTTTATTTTCCACGCCCCAAAGTTGACTCTAGTGTCAACCTGGCCACTAGCAAAATATTTTGACCCATTCTCCCCCCGCCCCAAGAAACAGCCATTAACCGTTTTCCTCTTTTTAATTTTCAGCACAGGCAAGAAAGGTTTCGAAGGCATCACAACTTCAAGGTTCTGAAATCTCCCGGGGCTCAATGCGGTGGTTTTCCGTGAAATGGGCAGACCATCCATTCATAACAAGGAGGAAACATTCCTGAACTCCATCAGTATCTAAAATTAGGAGCCAGCGTTAGGATTTTGAGAAATCATTTGGACGGGTCCGACCCACCCTTGATACCATCTTCTGTTGCCTCGAGGTTTTACTCGCCCGTTCTTCCTTCCAAACACCTCTTAAAAAGACATTTTCTCATTTGGGCAACGTTGTTCAACCTTGGACAGACCGTTTGAAGTTGTCTATCAAAGAGCCACGGTGGGATTCCAAAACCTTAAGTAATTTGGGGTTGGTACAAATGTGGGTTTTTTGTTTTTTCCAAAGAAGGGTGCTGATGGAGAAGACCCGAGTTCCAGTTTGGATAGATAGCAGTTTCTCCAAGCTGGAATTGGCAACCCCAAATTTCTTGCTGGCGCTCCAGATGTTCAGCTCTTCTTCGTCCCCTCTTTGCCTGCGATTCCTCTCTTGCGGAGGGCGTTAGCTTTGCCACAACGCAGAGCTCCCATTTTTCCTCTTCCAGGGAGACTCCGGCTGGGTCTTTTTAAAGCTTGCATCTTTGTTCCACAAACACATAACATTTTAAAAACGATTTTTAGGTTCAAAAGCATTTCCTTGTCTCATTGGTCCTAGCCATTTTATTTTCTCCTTTAATAAGCCTGTCGACAGTGGTTCAAGGGCAGAAAGGCCAGGTTTTCGATCGTTCCACCAATTTACAACCATAATGGAATATTTCAAGAGAAAGGACAAATTATCTGGGATTAAAAAAAAGAAAATGAAGGGCAGGTTTTGGTGCGGCGTTTCAGGTCCAAGACACCCATCTCTCCTCAGATATAACTTGCTGCTGAAATAGTTTCCCATCGAAAGAGCAGATGTTTAATTTGGGGTAAAAACCTACATATCTTGATTATTTCCATTGGCATTCTCCTCCGAGAAAATACACAGTTCAGCAGCAACAAAGTGGTAGATAGTAACTGGACGATCAAGCAAAAGAAAAAAACTTATTTATGCAAACAATTAATTGTAAGTCCATCCACTTTTTCAGGAAACCGCTTCTCCAATCACCTCTGTTGAAGGAAAAACATTTCTAGACAGATGCAAAATTTTAAAAAACAGGTTTTTCTTCACCCTACCCTGAATCCATAGGCCGCTAAACTTTGCCATGAATTCTAGAGCAGTTACAATCATGGGTGGGATTTTTAACAGGATCCACAGATTGGCAGAGAAATTGTTCTCCAAAAGCAAGTCCAGATACTCATAAGGAAGAGAACCGATTTTTCATATTTCATTGCTCCTTCTGTAAGTACGTTTGGAAGAGTTCCTTATAAAAAGGAAGGGGCAAACTCTTTCTAAAAAAAAAAAAGTCTCCAGTGCGTTAGAGAAAGAAAAGAAGAATGCCTTCTCTTTAAAATGACATGGAAGGGGGAAAAAATGCTACATGGGAGAGGAACCCCAAGGTCATTAAGAAGGGCCAAGAAAATGCTCCCTTCTGAGATTCCTCCTTCAATTCCCAAAAAAGGAGGGACTCCAAAAGAAGATGCTGGCAAGATTTGGTTGAGCAATGAGTTGATCCCTGAAATTGCCCATGGAGGGAACTTGTGAAAACATTTCTTCAGCGATCCCAAAAAAGAGATGGATGCAATGTTCTTGATTCTCATCTTAGAGGGAGCGAGCAGGGATCTGGAAGGACTACCGAGCAACCTTCCCAGCTGTGTGTACAAGGATACTCTTAGACAAGCAAAAGAGAAAAAATCATGCAATCTTTGGCAAGGCATTGAGGACATGGTCCATGGAAGAGAGATCTTTCAAGAGCTCTGCTTCAGGTCAACTTGAGACCGCCATTAGAGTCACCTACTTCCTGCTGATCTCAGCTGGCCCTCCACTGAAACCAAGTTTAGAGATTGGAAGAAGAGCAGCTGACTTCCAGACAGTGTGCTTTATGTCATTTCCTTAAAGCTCTGCAATCAAAACTCTTGCACACCGTTAAGTCCTAGTAAAACACCCTTGAACGTGAGCTGCAACAGTTTGCTTACAAGGTACCTTTGGTTACAGGCGGAGAACGGGGGATATTAAAACCCCCAAATGGAGCTATGGACCATCCAGGGTCACGTGAGACCACCCTTGCGCCTTCGTCTTACCCCTGCTGTTGAACCACTGTCTGTCCCTCCATACGTTGGGAAGCACGTGCTATTCGAAGGGAAGCGAGGGGGGAAAAAAAGATTCAACTCATTTCAGCTACGGGAAAAACATAGTCTTGCCTAACGTGCTAGAA